GAAGATACAAACTACTTTCTGCCAGACTGGCAAATGACATTTTCAGACTTTGAGCGCGGTCGGGTGGAGAGTGTACTGTGGCGAAAGGCACTCCCAAGAGGGTTTTCACTTCTCGGGAGCACTCCCGAGAAGTTTCCCATGTCGGGAGCGGTGTGGCGAGGCCCATAATCTATGGCGTAGGAGCAACAGGCTTTACCGAGACGAGAAATAAAAAATACAGAAAGGGGGAAGATAATAAAAATGAATAAAGAAAGGGGGAAAATAATAAAACTACAATAGACAAAGGATAGGAGCTGCACTCTGGCAGGACAAATCCGATATTTTCTGTCCATCTCTATCTTGTTTACGGTCCAAAAGATCATCTGTGCTGTGCTTTGCATCCTACCCAGTCGTACCGACCTCAGCGAAATTAAAGAATGCATTTGCTGGTGGGTTTAATTGCAGAAACAGCTTCGAAGCAGAAATGTTGTACGGGTCCGAAAGATGTATGTATGTTTGCAAGGAAAGTGGGAGCCCCGTTGCAAATATTGGGAGAAGTCATAAAACCTCCCCACGACGAAACCTTCGTCTCCATTTCCCCCCAAAAGGGAAAAGAAAGTGCCGCTGAAATCATGGGGACTTCAGGTCTCCTTTGCATCTCTGTCAGTTGAGGGACATTTAAGATTAGCCGACTGGCTGCTTCCAGGCAAGAGCAAGGAGAGCAGGGTCTTATCATTTCAGTGATAACTAACCTTGTACAGATAGGCAGGCTGTAGCGACTAAGCTTGCTTTATCTTTCGAAGTATCACCCTCTTTTTCTGAGCTTCAAGATGTTTTTTGAGGAGCTTTTTTTGCGACCTAGTGGTCATGGGAGGCTGGACCCGGTTTCCAACAAAGTTTCTGGTTCAGTTGCCGGGTAGAATTGTGAGGTTCCCGGCCTCGACCACGTGATATTGGAAATATTTTTTTTTATTTTAAAAAGGGCGATGGCCTTGAGGTATTATCATCGGACTGGCACTTTCTTTCCCTTATGGGGGGATATGGATACAAAGGTTTCGTCGCGGGGAGGTTTTATGACTTTTCCCGCAAATTTTTTTGCGATTCTGTGACGCCAACCGGCGCGACCTCGAAAGCTGCAACGAAAGACATAATTTTGCAAAGAAACTCGGGCCCCGCCAGTATCTTTGCTCTGAAACTACCGCCAGGCACTATTTTTGAAACTTAACGCTTTGCTCATGCCCTTACACTAAGGGTCAATTGCAGAAATAGCGCGCTCTGGAAGTTCCCCAGCGGACACGCTGTGGGCATCCCAACGATGTATTTCTGCAACGAAAGTGGGACCCCGCCCTCAAATAGTTTTGCTCTCCACCATTCGGGGCCTCCGTTAAAATTGGAGCGATACAGAGTATTGCAGACTAGATTGGCATGCCACACTGCGAATGGATGACACGCATCAATCGAGAAATGGTCCGAATATCTTTGCTGTGAAACCACCGGGGGCAAGGTCCCACTTGCGCAAATTAGGAGATTTGGGCCGTTGATCTTTGCTATCTACGGTCAGTATCTCTTAATTCGTGCAAGTGGGACCTAGCCCCCGGAGCTGTAAAGTGGCAACGAAAGATGCAGTTTGCAACAAAAGTTGGCCAACGCCACTACTACTGCTGTGAAACAACTTTTGCTGTGAACGCCCTATTTTTGAAACTTACCCGTCTTGCCTGATTGTCTTACGAAATATGGCTACTGACATATCAAAGCGCAAGACAACTGAGAGGGGGAAGGGGAGAGGGGAGGGGAGGGGGGGAGAGGGGGGGGAGCAACCTGCAACCTGTAGACAACTGAGAGGCTCCAGTCCAATTGGTGGGAGAACAGGAACACAAGTGCAGGTGCGCTTGGCTTAGCAGGCGGCGGGGCCGTGCCATGACTAAATGGTTTGCCCTGTATTATCGTCTGTTTATGACGTCTGTTTACGAAGAGACGAGAACATGCACACAGTTTAGAGAACTGGTTTAAATGGTTTTCGCTACGTCAGCGCTGTAAGGGATTGTTTCCTAACGCGTGAGCTCCTTTTTGTTATGTTTGGATGGGTATATGTTTATGTGCAGTGGTGGCCCTTTGTATGCCCTGTCATCTAGCGGAGGATGTCCAGTGCTGGTGGGAGTGACAAGCTGGTTAGCAATTCCTAAGAAGGTTTGCGGTTGGTCTCCACTGCCGGACTTCTACGCGCGCGTGAGCTGCAGCTTGTCCTGGATAGAATCGGTGGTTGGGCAGGCCATGAGGAGCACGGTGCCCCTCAGCCCTACGGCAAACTGTGAGAACTGCCTTGCCAATGACTTTCCGGATGGGGAAAACTGCGACAAGGCGAGCCGATACGACCTCAAGAAGTGCAACATCCAAGCCCGCCTCGCGGCCTCCTTCACGCTGAGGAAGCCAGTGTGCCAAGATGGAAAACGCCACACACTCAAGGCAAGCATTGACTTTCGCAAAGGTTTCCCCAACGCGTCAGAGGAGTTGAAGAGGACACTCACAGACGGGCAGGTCGTCTTCCTCTACAGTGCCGAAGGAACCGGGAATGGGGTCATAAGCCTTCCAGCATCAGGTGGGCGAAACGACGAGCTCATCAACACGCCCCTGAGGCAACCCAAGGTTTTGGCGGCCAAGGTCGCACTCGATGCCAAGGAGGGTGCGTGGGTGTATCGCTCCACTGGCTGTTCCTCAGCCAGAACCTACGCAGCACTGTACATGAGGAATACGGACAGCGAGACACCCCTGTACCGTCAAATCTCGCTAGCCGTGAGAGCGTAGTCGGCGGCGCCCTGACACTCTCATCGCGAGGGCCTGGAATGACAATGCGATCCCTCCATGATGGATGTAGGCCTAGCTCATGCCTTTTTATTTCTCCTTTTTCTAGGGGAACTTAATCTAGCCCCCTCTAAGGAGCCGGGTGTGTCATTCCAGTATTTTCTATCGGGGTAGTGCTCATACGAAGTCACACTGTCAAAGGATGATGATTATTTTCCTGAAGGCTGTCAGAGATGGCTGGACCTTGGAGACTCAAAAGTTGTAAGCATTGCCAGATCTTGATTATGGGCGGCGCTAGGAACCAGCGTGCTCAATATGGCGGGCGTACTGCACTTGGCAGGAGTGAGCTCACACGGACTTTTATGGAGATGGCGTGTAAAGGGAAGGGGTGATAGAGGCAACAGCAAAGGAGTTACTTTACCAAAGGGGTAGAGCAGGTGGTCGTAATGTTAACCGACATAAAGATGTTCATGGTAGAACAAGTGGGAATGAAATACTTGGTGGTTGCACTGGTTGGTCGTTAAAGGGTAGATCTTAATCTTTGGTATGATGTAATCTGTATAATTAGAAGTTGGTGATTGCAAAGAAATGATGAAGATATTGTGATGCGATAATCAGTATAGACAGACGTAATCTGTATGATTAGCATTTGGTAAATTCGAACTTGTAATGAGTAAAGATAACCAGGAATAGTAGTGTGAGAGGGCTCTTCTTGAGGCCCTACGTGCATGAATAATCCAGTGACTGGCCTCCATATTGAGACCCAAAGTGATAAGAGGTATTAAGGGCTGCTTTTCCTTGCGAGCCGCTAAGTAGCAGAATTATATATATGTAGTACATATATTTGCCAATTTAAAAAACAAATTGAGTTCAGATACTCACCCGATTGGCAGGGCATTGGTCGGCTTTGTACGAAAACAAAAACAAGAATATGATTGGCAGGAGTGCAAGAGTAGAAGAAATGACGTTATAGCCAAATTATTGCATTCCGTACGGATTCGTAGCATGTTGTACACTCGGTTTCGATAGCCGAGCTGCTTGTTGAGAAGCTCAGTATTACGTTAATAGGGCCGCTACGTTCTCACCATTGCTTTGATGGGTTTTTGCTCTCGTGGTCTCCCTTTGAGAAGGGTATGCGTTGATGACATCTATGCCATCATGGGCATCGTAGAAGCGGAAAATTCTCTGCCTCAGCAGAGAAATAGGGGTAGAGTACTCGGCCTTTAGTGCCTAATCCTTTCCATCTAGGGAGGTACTAATCAATCCGGCTTGGCTTTCCAATGTTTACAGAGGATCATTAAGAGCAGCGCACAAATCATGTAATTGAGTTGCTTGTTTTTTTCTATGGGACGCTGGACCCGGTTTCCAGCACGTGCTGTTACCCACCAAGAAACCGGAGGGGATTGGGTTTGTTAAGGACGGGGTAAATCAAATCAATAAAGCAGATGTATTTACCTTGGGAACGTGCTCTAATTCAGAATTCTGCATGCTCATCTTTTCGGTCCATACAGAAGCGTGAGGAACGCTTGCTTGTCTTGGCGGGGTACAGGCTATGCTATGCATCCTGCCCTCCGTCGTGACCAGGGGCTCGGCCGGAGGTGGTTGGGTTCCGGCCGTGCACTTTCAGCAGATTTTTCCAAAATTTTAAATAAGTGAAAAAAAAAGCAAAAAAAGTGGGGTTGTAAGCCCTTCGGCGCGTCTTTTTTTTGGAATTAGACTTCATTTTCGTTTTTTTTGAAAAAGGGGAAACACAAAAAATCACATTTAAGTCCAAAAAAAAACATAACTTTTCTTTATTTTCTTCGTGTCTCAAGCTAGGTCCATGTACAGCCAGGGGGACCCTCAGGAACAGCAAATTTTGACGAGTTTTTGGCCAAAAAACTCGGTTTCAATTTCGTTCAAAAAATACAAGATGTCCATTTTGAATAAATGGCAGTTGATTGACGGAGGGTCGCCCACCCCCTGCACACACACACACATACACACACACACACATACACACACACACACACACACACATGCGCGCGCGCGTGCACGTGCGAAAGCGCTTTGTTTTTCTTGAATTTCTTTTCTGTTTTTTTTTTTATTAATTGCTTGACTGGTTTGTTGGGGGTGTTGCCCACCCCCCACGTGCGTGCGCACACACACACACACGAGTGTGTGCGCACGCACATGGAGGTGCACGTTATTTTTTCCTTTTTTTTCCTCAACCAACCAATCAATCAATCAAGCAATCAATCAATCTGATTCAATCAATCAATCAATCAATCAATCAATCAATCAAACAGTTTTTTTTTTTTTTTTTGAAGGCACAGGGGTGTAGAAGCGCCCCGCACCACCCCCCTCCCGCCCCGATCTTGACGTTCGGGCATCCAGGTGGGCGGAAATCCCGTGAACGACCGCCGTGAACTGCCCGTTCACAGATTTCGGCCCCCGTGACCGGCCGGTCATGTTCAGGTGACCAGTGCCAGTCACGTTCACGGGACCGGCACTGTGTGTGTGTGTGTGTGCTTGTAAGTGTGTTTGTTTGGTGAGATGAGTCCATTGCAACTCGCGATGCAACAAGCCGCGTTTATATTAAGACATAACATAAATAATGTCAATATCACAGACATTGCAGCATCGAACAAATCACACCATGCTCCAAGCGAATATTCCATTCGATTGGGTATGCACGACCTCATTGACTTCCCTAAAAGGGCCCGAGGACTGGAGCCCGAGGGCACTAAGCCGTGAGCTGAAACAAACAATACGCAACAACTAGGGGAAGGCAGAAAAAAGACAGCAAGGGAGAAAGGCATGCCGCATCAACAAAGGGCAAAGGCTGGAGGGCATGGGGGAGATGGGTGGGCAGAGAGACAGCATCCGCAAAGCAAACAGCGCAAGGCAGCAAAGCATATAGGCTGGAGGGCATGGGGGAGGCGGGTGGGCAGGCAAACAACACAAAACAACAAAGCACACTGGGTGAAAGGCATGGGGTAGACGGATGGGCAAGCAAACAGAGTAAGGCAGCGAGGCTGCGAGGGAAAAAACAGCAAGACAAACGGCGACAAATTCCCGACAATGCAAAAACAACAACCGAAAGAAATACAAGTATAAACAAGGCAACGACTGAAAAAAATAAATAAACAGATGATGAAAGATTGTTCCGTCGGAGTTGCACCGACCCATCAGGAGGATGAACCATCGACAATCTGCGGAATCTCCGTATTTGATAGTTTGGGTCATAAACCCTTTGAACCTTGTTGAAGGAAGACTGTCCCCAACCGGAAGATAGCAGTGGGCCGCAACCCTGTGGAGCACCAAGCAACACAATAGAGGCAACATGGCCGTACAACGCCAAAAACGACTGCAAGGAATGACATGGCATGCAAGACTTGCAGCATGACAACTGTGTAGTGAAGCACAAGGCAACACAAACAAGGCAACCACACTGCAAGGGACAATAGGGTGAGTAGACCAGCAACTTGGCAACCGTGGCGCGAAGCACAAGGCACCCGCAACAAGGCAACCAACCAACATAGGATGCAACCAGCAAACACGGAAGGCATGCCCATCGGAAGGGCAGCATGGCAGCGGAGCATCGAAGCGCAAGGCAACACCAACAACACGGCCACACCACACAGCGAACACATCAACCTTCAAAGAACCACATGCGAAGCAAACACGACAGGCAGCAGGGCAGCAGCGGAGCGCAGACGAGCCGGTCCACACATTCAACACGAACCGAAGCAGCACATGACCTACTCACATCTCGATTGAACCTCGTAGACTGTTGGTTCCCACCACCCACTGAGCCAGGGAGTCACTCCGATGAGCATCCATCATCACCTACAAGCAACACATACATCTCGAACCGAGCGACACCCTTAAGCTATGTGACACCCGCTGTCGGAAGATGTTGCGGCGCAGCAGCGGAAATTGACTCGCCGCGGTCAACTTTCGCGCTGCGTCAGAAATTGTGTACCGTAGTCATGGACCCTAGTACTTCGGTAAGACTTCCCCTGGGACGAAGCCGAGGGAAGAGCGGCGCGACGGTAGGATCCTCTGGAGGACTAATCGTCCCCGTTGGAC